ATGAGCGCGAGCAGGCTACGGCGACATCTGCAGTGCAGCGTCGCGCGTGGGGGGGAACTCGCCTCGACCTTGACCCACCCCCTTCGCCTCTCGTCGCCGGTGCGCCATCCACCTCGCGACCATCCGGTTCGAAGCAGGGGCCTCCCTTGGGTCGGCTCGAGCCCCGGCGCCCGGTCGCTCCCCGCCCAACGGGCCGCTGCCCCCCCCCCCCGACCTGCCGCCGCAGCCGAGTCCATGGCGCGCTCCGCCCGCGCCCGCGCCGCGCTGCTGCTCGCCGCCGGCGCGGCCGCCCTCGGCCTGGCCTCCCGGGCCTTCTGCGGTGCCCCGGCCGCGGCCCCAGCGCGCGGGGGGCTGGCGGGGCGCCAGGGCTGGCGCCTGGATCTGATCGAGGTGGGGCCGAAGGGCATCGGCCAGCTCGTGATCCACGAGGGCTACTACGTCGGGGAGAAGGCCATGTTCGAGATCCTGGCGAAGAACGGCTTCCGCTACCGCATGCGCGCCACGACGGAGGAGATGAAGAAGGGCGTCGACGTCCCGCCCATCTCCCAAATCGGTCCGCTCAAGCTCAGGCTCTTCGAGTCGCTGGGTGGCTCCTGCCGCAAGCCGGGGCTGGTGCGGCCCGAGGGCTACAGGGGCTGCGCGGGCCTCGCGGCGTGGGACACCGACCTTCCGAAGGCGAACCCTGCCCTCAAGTGAGTGAAAGCCAGGGCCCATCGAAGTTTTGAAGGGCCGCGAGGCAGGTCACGCGTGTTGACCTCTGTTCTTTCCTGCGTCCCTCCGAGGGCGCGCAAGAGTTTTTGGTGGCATGCGATCGCGCCGAAGAAACAAAGCCCAGCGCAGAAAGAAAGACCCCAGAGAGACCCGAAGGGACGCCCTCTGCCAGATCACAGCAGAAGTAGCACCGATGCGGTCAAAACGCTGAAGGGAGGACAGGAGGGGCTGTGGTTTTCGGGCCGCTCCTCAGATCTAGGTCAGGGAACATGTTGTTCGCGAACCCCCCCATCGCTACGTCTGCTGCGTTCCTCATGGCAGCACGGTGGCTGCACCGATATCCCGGTGCCCCACGTGGCCACAGAGGACAGGAGAGGGACGCGTGCGAGCCGGGTCCGCGAGGGGCCTTCGGCGAGATCACAGCAGAAGCAGCACCGATGCCCCGAAGGCCCACGGGTCCGCAAAAAAGGGAAGGGGGAGGGGCAGCGACGTGTGAGGTGCGGGTCCGATCATCGATGCTTGGAGCTCCACGCGAGGGCCGCCAGGGCAATCCTCTTCCCGGGCGGGTCGGTCTGGTCTCCAGCGTTGCGGTCTGGTCGGGCCAGTCTGGGCTCCAGGCGTGTCGGACTGCGTGCTGTCGGCGTCGCTGGGCCGGGCCAGTCGGGCTCTGACGAGCGTTCACGGTGCGGCGAGGGGGGCAGCGATCGGACGGGGCCAGGACGAGGATGACTCCGTGCCAGAGGGTTCCAGAGCGCTCTGAGAAGGCCGCGGCGCTCGAGACCTTCTCCAGAGCCGTGGGATCGCAGAGATTCTCGATTGAACGTCGCCCGATTTTATCCTCGCCCTGGTTTCGTCTGAAGCTGTGGGCCTCCCAGATGGGGTCCGAGCAGATGGGGTCGGAGGATCGCGCCGCATCGCCGATGCATCGGTGATGCGGCTGGATGCGCAGCCCGGCTTTCTCCACACGGACGGCGCCGATGCACCGCCGATGTCGCCAATGCATCGCCGATGCGTCGGCGATGCACTGCCGATGCATCGGCGATGCGGCGCGATCCTCCGACCCCATCTACTCGGACCCCATCTCTAAGCGAGGCCGAATGTATTCTCGTCCTGGCCTCGTCTTAGGCGAGGGGGCGCCCCGAGCACGAGAGGCCGCGGGCCGCCGGGCGCAGCTCTGGAGCGCCACCGCGAGGGGGCTCGCGGTCGAGGCACGCGGGCCGGGCCCCCGTGGCCACGCGACGGGTCGGAGGGCCGATCCCGTCCCTGGGGGCGGCACGAGAGGAGGAGGAGGGAGGAGGAGGAGGAGGAGGAAGGAGGAGGAGGAGGAGGAGGAGGAGGAGGAGGAGGAGGAGGAGTGGAGGAGGAGGAGGAGGAGGAGGTGGAGGAGAGGAGGAGGAGGAGGACGGAGAGGAGGAGGAGGCGGAGGAGGAGGGAGGAGGAGGAGGAGGGGGGAGGGCAGGGGGAGGGGGAGGGGGAGGGGAGGGGGAGGGGGAGGGGGAGGGGGAGGAGGAGGAGGAGGAGAGGAGGAGGAGGAGGAGGAGGAGGAGGGGAGGAGGAGGAGGAGCAGGAGGAGGAGGAGGAGGAGGAGGAGGAGGAGGAGGAGGAGGAGGAGGAGGAGGAGGATCGAGGATCGAGGGGGGGAGGAGGAGGAGGAGGAGGAGGAGGAGAGGAGGAGGAGAGGAGGAGGAGGAGGAGGAGGAGGAGGAGGAGGAGAGGAGGAGGGGAGGGGGAGGTGGGGGAGGAGAGGAGGAGGAGGAGGAGAGGGGGAGGAGGGAAGGAGGAGGATGATGAGGAGGAGGGAGGAGGATCGAGGAGGAGGAGGGGGAGGCTCGAGGAGGGGGCTCGAGGATCGAGGAGGAGGAGAAGGGGCAGGAGGAAAAGGAGGAGAGGAGGAGGAGGAGGAGGAGGAGGAGGAGGAGGGGGAGGAGGAGGATGGGGGGAGGAGGAGGAGGAGGAGGAGGAGGAGGAGGAGGGGGGGAGGCCAGCACTGATGTCACCACGGCTGAGGTCACGACCCAGGGACTCACATTGGGCAATATTGTGGCAAGTGATGGCGGGGAGGGGCCGAACCTTATGAGACGCATCATCGACCACAGATCCGCAGAGGGCCCCTTGAAGAAGTCCATCTTCCGTCTGCCGCACATCGACCTCAAAGCCAAGTTGCTGTATCTCACGGCACTGGCGCAGAGCAAGCTGACCTACGACTGCGAAGTATGGGGACCGCTGACAGTACAGCAGAAACAGATGTTGCAGAGCAGACATATGGCGAGCCTACGGGCCGCCGCACGACAACAGCGACACGGTGCGGGGCACATACATACTTTGGACGACGAAATATACTTGTTATGTGATGAAGTACCGATCCACATGTACCTGCGCCGACGGCGCCTGATGTACTTGGCCAGAATGACGCATGCAGACACGCCCTTCCTCCACCGCCTCATCGACGAGCTTTGGGGGGATGATAAAGCCTGGAATGCCCTTATCGTCGAGGATCTGGACTGGATAAGAAGATTCCTACTAGACGACGAGGACATTGGCTGCGACATCAGGGGCTTGGTACGATGGTTACGAACACAGCAAGTGCAAGCCGCACAAGCCATGATCACGCGTGCGTGGCTCAGGTACAAGACATGGCAGCACGACTTATACCGACATCGAATATGGCAAAGGCAGTTACACCGTCTTGCGCAAGAGTTTGGACTGACCACGCCCAACTTCGATGGACTGCCGCCTGCACAACACAGTGGCTACATATGCTATGAGTGTGGCAAGATCCTAAAAACTCGGGGAGCATGGAAGCGCCACCGCACCATGGAGCACATCGGCTACGACCTCCCCGAATTGCTTGCCCGTTCGACTACCTGCCCTGGGTGTGGGAAGAACTTCATAACGCGATCGCGCATACTCAAGCACCTGAGAAGGTGCCCCAGGTGCCTGGCTGTACTCCAAGCAATCGAAGTCCCAATGGATTTGCAGGAGGCAGCCGAACGCCGAGAAGAGGAACGAGAGGCTGTGGCGACGAGGAAGGCAATGGGGCATGGAGCTACAAAGGCGCTGGTGCCCGCCCAACAGGTCATACACATCAAGCTTGCCGACTACATCGAGCAGCATCAGCTCCAGCTCTCGCCGGCGCCGCCTGCAGCAGCGGACCCTCAACCAGCGACGCCACCTGCAAGCGTATTCGCACCGTGCAGGCCCATGGTTACTACGGCTATGTTCTTGCTGCACCTTTTCTCAGGCAGACGCCGAACCGAGGATTTCCAGCACCACTTCGAGATGAACATTCGGGAATGCAATTTGGTAGTATTATCGATCGACGTGCAGATAGACCCCGACAAAGGAGACCTGACGAAGCCAGACGTCGTCGAGTTTTGGTGCGCGGCGATACGACAGGGCAAAATATTTGGCATTGTGGCGGGCCCCCCCTGCGAGACGCGGTGCTCATCGCGCTGGCATGCCGCCGAGGGGAAAGCTCCACGGCCACTACGTACACACGACTTCCCCTGGGGCATACAAGCAGCCAATCAAGCGGAGCGTCAACAGATAGCACTAGCCAACGAGCTATACAGGACAGCTCTACTACTCATCACCACTGGCTTGCAGTACAACGTATCTGCCGTACTCGAGCATCCCGCTCCAGCCACCTGGTGCCCTCAAGCGCCTAGCAGCTGGCAGCGAGCAGAGACGCTCTGGCTTTTGGAGCAGACGAGCGTCGAGCTGCACTACATAGACCAGTGCCAGTTTGGGCAGGCTGCGCGAAAGCCAACATGCCTGATGGCGGTACACCTCAGTGAACTTACACAGGAGCTGGGGGCGGTACCTGGGGGACAGCTATGCCGACATAACGGACATGACAGAGCTTACGGACGAGACGGCCAAGGCGGCTGGAGGACCGCCCCCCTCAAAGAATATCCTTCAAGGCTGTGCAAGGCAATGGCTACTGCATTCGCAGCCCACTGGGGACAGCTTGCTGACGAAGAGGCAATGTGGGCCGAAACGGATGAATGCTATCACAGGTTCTACGCCCCCTTGGACTACTACATCGAGCCAGAGCAGCTGGGCCACGACTGTCACAGGGCATGGGGTAACCAACGGCGCTAGCAGCTGACACTGCAGCGGCACTACGTTTGGCTGCACAGATATTCGAGTTTAATTGTTTCAGGATTATTCATACTTGCCAGTCCCTGGAAGGGACCATCGGTTGGCAGTTTGGCGCAGACTATTGGCATCTTACAGATTGGAGGGCAGTTGGTATTACAGAATTGCGTACAGTCGGGTAATAGTTCAGAGCAGGCGCGTCAGCATCAGCGCACCTACTGTATGTACTCAAGACCCGCATTGCTGCTGGGTTATTGGCACGGCTGCGTCTTGGACAGCGATTGCGTGCCATACTCGAGGGGGGGGGGGGCCCGTAGCGCCCATGCGGGTGGGCACGATCCCTCAATGGCGACGGAGCGTGCCCCCCCCTCGAGCACTTTCTGGATTTAGTGGCTTTCTTTCAACACTGGCATTTACTTCTATGATTATCCAGCGCCCTGGACAAGGCACTACGGTGCCATGGTGTAAGTCCTGAGGGAGCCCCGAATGCGAGGGAAGACCTCAGGCAGCGTCGCCAAGTTTTGCCCTGGTTAGAACGCAAGTCCTGGGGAAGCCCCGAATGCGAGGGAACACCCCAGGCACAAGTCGCCACGTTTTGTTGTGTACCCTGGCGGCGACTGGATACCTACAACTTGGACGGCGCCATCCACCTACAACTTGGACGGCGACAGCATACCCATCACGACCCCGCACACCTCCTGTCAAGCCAACGCTGTCCTGGTGAGGATCAAACTTCGAGACGGGCTCGAAGGGCGGGGGGGAAGGACGAGTACTTCCCGCGCCCACCAGCGGGGATGGTGAGGGGCAGGGGGGGGGGTAGGACGGCCACTACCTGCGCCCCCGCGGTCCGCCCTAGCTCGCCACCCCCACCATTCCCATGGAGA